CAGAGCCGAAGAGTCTGAGAGGAGCAGAGCCGCCATTTTCCCGGACATGTTCGGCTTTTTGGCAATTCCCCCCGGACGGGGGTTTGACTGCCGAAAAGCCGGACATGTCCGGGAAAAAGAGGACGTATGGTAACCCTACCATATCTATTTATCTATCTTACCTTCAACCATAAGGTCTTGTTTATGTTCGAGCTTGTAGAGCTGAAACTGTTTTCAAACAGGTCTACAGCCAGGTTTCAACAAGTTATCATCCATGCCTGATATGGGCACCAATTCAGCAAAGAATTTAAGCACATGCATAACTTTATGTACAGTTTTAAATCCGACTGACTTAATTTCTGCTGGGTTGCTGTTTGCAGGGGTTCTCACACACTGAGTCCTTCCTCCAGCTGGGTGGGGGCTGAGTTATACCTCCTGCAGAATAAGCTCCAGCCCCCCTAAAGAATTCATAGATTTTAAGGTTAGAAGGGACCATTAGGCTCATCTTACCCTGACCCCTGCACAATACAGGCCAGAGAATTTTACCCAGTAATTTCTCCATCAAGTAGGGTGACCAGAAAGCAAATGGAGGGGTGGGGAGTGGGCAATAGGAGCCTATATAAGAAAAAGACTCAAAAATCGGGATTGTTCCGATTGGTCACCCTACCATCAAGCCCACATAGGAGCCAGCTGTGGAGTCACACAGGGGCCGGCCATGAGGGGCCGCAGACAGGAACACACCAGAGGCGCTGGCACCCCCCTCTCCAGGGCTCTCCTCGGCTCTCCTTCATCGAACCCACCCCCCAGCACTGGCTAGAGCCCATCCACAGACCAGCTCTTCTATCCTGTCATTGCCCAACGCCTACCTTTTGATCCCGCCCACCCCCGATTCTCTGTCCTGCGATTGGGTAGCTCATGCTCTTCCCTTCGGCCTCTGTGGAGCTATGCCGGGAAATTGGTCAGCTCGTCCCCTGCGCCGCGCCTCGCCTCGCCTGGATTTTTTTGGCCCTGTGATAGGGTATGGCCTCTCGGGGGACCCGCCCCTCTTCCCTGATTCCCCCCGTTGGTACGCGGGCCTGTCGTTGGATCGTGTTCCCTTTGGCCACGCCCCCTCTCCCTTGGCCCTCGCCCCCTGTCTCACGGAATCGCAGATGTATTTGAGCGCGGGCCCCGCCCCTGGATGACGCGAACACGTGTGATTGGCAGTCGGGTCGGGCTGGGTTTCCGCTGCCGGGCGGGGGTGGTGGCGGACCCCAAGCGGCCGGAGGGAGCCGGCAGGATGGAGCGGCCGGAGCAGGGCCTCGGGGAACCGGACTCCCACCCCCGCGCCAACGGCTGCAGCCTGACGGGATACGGGGCGCTACGGAACGGATACGTGCGGGGCCTGCCCGAGACCGAGACCGAGGTGTGGGGCCGGGAAAGCCGGGCGCGGAACGGAGGGGCCGCCGGCCCGGGGCTCCACACCGGGAGGCGGGCGCGGGGGTCCGAGCTCGGCTGCCCGAGGGGAGGCGTGGGGCTGGGACCGGTCCCTGCATGGGGTGGCCAGGGGCCAGTGTGGCGGCGCGGAGCCTGGCCCGGCTTGCGGCTTCCTGCTCCGTAATCGGGAAAACGGGACGCGCCCGTCCCAGCTTCGCCGCCCGCGGGCTTCGCAGCGAGCGGTGCCGCCTCGGACCCGCCTGGCATAGTGGGGACCCCACAGGGTGGCAGGCAGCCCTGCTCCTTGGCCTGAGCGAGACTCGGCCTTGCGGAGATGCTGGGGCCAGGTGTGGAGGCGCAGATGGGAACTGGCCTGAGGCGCTGGGTGCCCCCCGGGCCCTGGCACGAGTGGAGGGGCCGCCAGGCAGGGCGGGGGGGCCGGCGCACGGGTCCTCACTGCGGCTCTGGGGAGCCACCTGGTTCTCCCGTCGCGCTCCTGTTGGCCGTGTGCGTGAGGCTGCCCACCCCTGACAGCAGGAGGGGGCTGTGCTGCAGAGTGTCTGCTTTTCTAGGGCTGGCTGGGGAGGAGAGAACTGGCAGAGCGTCAGAAAGGCCCACCGGGTCAGACCAATGGTCCATCTAGCCCGGTGTCCTGACTTACCAGTGGCAGGTCCTTCAAAGGGAATGAACACAACAGGGCAATTATCAGGTGATCCATCCCCTGCCCTGATCCATCCCCTGCCCTCCAGTCCCAGCTTCAGGCAGTAAGAGGTTTAAGTACAGCAAGCGTCCTTCATGGGGTTGTGTCCTTGATCATCTTGGCTAAAACCCATTGAGGGATCTATTTTCCAGGAATTTACCTTTTTTTTTTTTGAGCCCAGTTGTACTTTTGGCCTTCATGCCATCCCCTGGCAATGAGTTCCAGAAGTTGACTGTGCTTTGTGTGAAGAAGTAATTCCTTTTCTTTTCTTTGTTTTAAAACTGCTGCTTATTTATTTAATTGGGTGATCCCTGGTTTACGTGTTACACTTCCTTACTCACTTTCTCCACACCATTCTTGATTTTATAGATCTGTCATATCCTCCCTTAGTTGTCTTTTCTAAGCTGAACAGTCTCTAATCACTTTTGTTTCCCTTCTCTGTAATTTTTCCAATTCAAATATATCTCTTTTCAGATGGTGGGACCAGAGTTGCACTCAGTATTCAAGGTGTGGATGTACTATAGATTTATGTAGTGGTGTTATATTTTGTCTTAGTATCTATCCCTTTCCTAATGATTCCTAACACTGTTAGCTTTTTTTTGCCCGCTGCTGCACATTGAGCAGATCTTTTCACAGAACTATCTATGATGATTCCAAGATCTTTCTTGAGTGGTAACAACTAATTTCTACCACATACTTTTGTATGTATAGTTGGGATTATGCTTTCCAATGGACGTTACTTTGCATTTATCAACATTGAATTTAATCTGCCATTTTCTTGCCCAGTCACCCAGTTGTGAGATCCCTTTGTAACTCTTCAGTCTGCTTTGGAGTAATTTTGTTTCATCTGCAGACTTTGCCATCTCACTTTTTACTCCTATTTCTAGCTCATTTATGAATCTGTTGAACGTCTCTAGTCCAAGTGCAAATCCTTGAGGGACCTTGCTATCTACCTCTCTGTGAAAACTGACCGTTTATTTCTGTCCTTTGTTTCCTATCTTTTAATTAGTTACCAATCCATAAGAGGGAAGGTCCTCTCATCCCATGACTGCCTGTTTTGCTTAGGAGCCTTTGGCGGGGGATCTTGTTAAAGGCTTCCTGAAAATCCAGGTACACTGGATCACCCTTGTCCATGTTTGTTGAGCCCTTCAAAGAATTCTAAAAGATTGGTGCGGTGTGATTTCTCTTTTTTAAAAAGCCCTGTTGACTCTTTCCCCAACATATCATGATCATCTATATGTCTATAATTTTGTGCTTTACTATAGTTTCAACCAACTTGCCTGGGACTGCAGTTAGGCTTACTGGCCTGTAATTGCGAGGATCGCCTCTGGAGCCTTTTTAAAAATCAGCATTACATTATCTACCCTCCAGTCATCTGGTACAGAGGCTGATTTAGGCGATAGGTTACATATCACAGTTAGTTGTTCTGTTTCATATTTGAGTTACTTCAGGGCTCTTGGGTGAATACCATCTGGTCCTGGTGACTTATTAATGTTAATTTATCAATCTTCCCCCAAACCTCCTCTATTTAGATCTTAGTGTGGGACAGTTCCTCAGATATGATATCTAAAAATTAAGGCTCACAAGTGGGAATCTTCCTCTGCAGTGAAGACCGATGCAAAGAATTCATTTAGCTTCTCCCCAATGGCCTTGTCTTCCTTGAGTGTGCCTTTAGCACTTTGATTGTCCAGTGACCCCCACTGATTGTTTGGCAGGCTTCCTGCTTTGGTGTACTTAAAAAAATGTCTTTTGCTAGTTGATCTTCAATTATTTTTTGGCCTGCCTAATTATACTTATACACTTGAACTTGTCACAATTTATGTTCCTTTCCAGTTTTTAGAAGATTTTTTTTGTCTCTAACTGCCTCTTCTGCTCTGCTTAGCCATGGTGGCGTTATTTTGGTGGTCCTGCTGGGTCTTTTTTTATTTATTTTAAGTGTATCTATAGTTTGAGCCTCTATTTTTTTTTTAGTGTTTTTTAAAAGTTTCCATTCAACTTGCAAGCATTTCACTCTTGTGACTGTTCCTTTTTATGTTTTTTGTGTAGTTCCCCTTTTTGAAGTTAAATGCTAGAGTGGTGGGTTTCTTTGGTATTTTTTCCTGACAAGGATGTTAAATTTAGTTAAAAGAAGCTTAACTTGATGTGTCTACGGTAGTGGTGTTGGAGTGTGGTAAGATTTTTGGGGTGCACTGAGGATGGTTTCTGTCCTAGAGGTTTCTGTTTTGGGAGAAAGGTGCTTTTTTTTTTTTTTTTAAATTCCCCAATCTGCTTCTGGCATCTTTGGTGGCATTAGCATTTAAAAGTGCATCTTTCCATCGGTCTCTGGCTATATGTTTGTGGCTCTTTCTCTCAGGTCTTCTAGACCTTACTACTCTGCTTTTGTGACCTCCAGACTGGGTTACTGCAGTACACTTTGCAAGGGGTTACAGTTGAAAATCACTCCAAATTTTCCAGTGGTGCAGCATACAGGCAGGTTGGCAAGCTGACCGAAGCTGCATCCGAAGAAGTGAGGTTTTTACTCACGAAAGCTTATGCCCAAATAAAGCTGTTAGTCTTTAAGGTGCCACCAGACTCTTTGTTGTTTTTGTAGATACAGACTAACACGGCTACCCCCTGATACTTGACAACATTAGCTGAAAGGAACATATACCACTTTTTTGGTCATCTGTACTTGCTTCAGGGGGCTATTCAAGGCACTGACTTTGATCCCTAAGGTCTGATGACTTGAGTCCTGGCTATTAGTATGATGCTTCTATTGCTGTATGCTGCGGTGACAGTTGAGCTCTGGAGCTAAGTCTGCAGATCAATATATTGGGTTTGGATAGATATTCTCAGTGAAGGGCCCTAGATTCTGGAATGTACTTCTGCATTGATCTGTCAGAGCTGGAATTTGTTGATCTTACAGGAAAAACAGATGGGTTTTACTGTACACCTGAGTTTAGGTGGATGGATGTGGAATTGGATGTATCTTATAAATTAAAACAGAAAAATCAGAATTAGTAAATATCACATGTAACTATTCAGCTGTTGGGCCAACTCCTGCTCATTATTTACCTAGTCTGGCTTTAGACCAGTGAGATGGAAAGGAAAAGCTCTGTATCCCTTAATATATTCCCTGTGCTGGCTGTCTACCTAATTACGTGGACCTAAGATGGGACCTAAAAGTTCTACATAGCCAGTACTACC